AATAGGTTTTCATGATTTTAACCTCGAAGTATTGGTTCAATATTACTTTGCACGAACTTTTAAATACAATTAATTTGAGTCGAGTTTGGTCGAGGTACTTCGAGTCAACAAACTTTTTAATGAGCTATTTTGGTACATACATTAGTAAGGTAAAATTTTATTTTAAGCAACTGATCTCCGAGCAACGAGAGCTTGTAGTTATTCAATTTTATTAATTAAGATAAACGTAACTCTCATATTATGATAATAAAATATAATTTAATTTTTACTCATTATATCTTCTATTATTTGAAACTTATTTTTTTTTCACGTGGTGGTTGAATTTCTTTTCCATCTTGAAGCCTTTAATCTAGTCCATCTTGGTAGGTATCACCTTTTTACCTATTTCTGTTATTTTTTTAGTAATTGTAACAGTGCTTGCATTGGTGTGTTTTGAGCTTTAGGTTATAGAGCGCCAATGCAATTAAAGACTGTGAGGCATTCCATCTTAGTTTTCAGATGTGACAACACATTTGCAGTCATTTTTTTTGACGTTGACTTAAGATGTCCATGTCCATGTACTGCAGTAGCCACTTACCATCAGGTAGACTGTTATTTATTTAGTCACTTCAGTTTTATTAAAAAAAAACACCAATACAATTAGGACGTATGTGTTTGCCATGTAGTGCCAATTTTTGTTTCCCCATTGATAAGGTACAGTATATGTAAATATAGTATATGTAACCACTCACATAAATTTGTTTTGGTTTTCGAATACTTGTTTAATACTTTATTTTAAAAGATCTTTTTTAGTAAAGTAATATCGGGTTTTAAATTTGATTATTTTTAATTCAAAAGGACTCTCCTGATCGCCTTAAAACAATAAAAAAATGAATAACATTTACAAAGTTTTAATTGTAAACAGTACTAAGACAAAATAACATATGAAAAGATAGGTAATGAAGAATGAATACAGAATTATAAAAGTATAGTCTCAAAGGATACAGATCTCTCAAATAGGAATGTGTTTATTAATCAAATATAGAAAAAGAAAACCCCTGATATCTAAACCCCGCCCTAGGTGACTAATTTGCTCATGAACTGCTTACATTGACATTTGCTGTATTGTTATTTTTTTTAACTTAACATTATACAATTTGCATTATACGTTAAATACTCTTGTTGTAACAGGAATGACCAATATTGTGGCGAATACTGGATACCCGATGGTAGAAATACATAAAAATCGTTTTAGCGATTGTTGTTGAGTTCTATATGTGGTAGAGCCACGCTGCAGCTTTATTATGGTTGTAGCATGAATAAGTCGACTCGACCGGAGTAGAACAACGCTTGCACAGAATACCAGCGTAAAATAGCAGCTTCATGCTGCGGTGTATCGTATGGTGAGTGTAGTGAACCGGAGACCCTTTTTACTGGAAAAGAGGCATTCCATCTTAGTCCTCAGAGATGACATTTTGATTATTAATTAGGATAAGTGTAGATGTCTATGGGGCACAGTATACACATACCATCATACGGACTGTGTGCTTGTTTGGCACCCTATTCTATAAATAAAAAAATAGTTATATAATATCTTCTCTACAATGGACGACAGACTCAGCACTGGAATTTTAAGGGCTGACGAAAAAGATGAAAATATGATTTTTGTTACTAATTATTCGATTGGTAATTTTCTACGTGTTAGAGCCATGTTACAGCTATGTTATTGTAACGAACCCCCCCCCCATCTTTTTTCTTTTCTACTATATATCCACTTATACTTGTATTTCTTTAGAATCTATATCTGTAAGATATATAAATATATCTAATTTACGTGACCAGTATAACTTGATCTTTCTAAAGGTTTAAATATAGGCCGTTTAATAAATTTATGGCGTGATCGTCTTAGTTAGGACCCTTCTTTACGTTGTGTTTGTATAGTAACTTAGTTCTTTTAGGTGTATCTTGGAAGAATTAATATTCACGAGAGCAATCGAAAGCTGTTGGTAGAGTCTTATAAGCTAAAGAACTCCGTTCACGAAGACAGAGCTCAAAAAGGTTAAGAACAATAAATTGTCCCTATTCCACTTGTATCTGGTTCACAACAGTCAATTCCTTATTAATTAGTCCCTTCCCGCTTGGAAAAGGCTCACAATATTTATATCAAATACCAGTTACAAGGGCTTCGCTCTCCCACATTTTAAAAAAAATGTGGAGGAGGTACACGGCCCCACACACGCCGCGCACGGTGAGCACCAACCATTTTAACGCGCTCCCCCCGAAGGGTACGCAAAGTTGGGAACTGGACCGTAGTCCACAGCAAAATAACTGGCGAACCAGTAAAAGAGGACTTGGCCCCTTGATAGTGCGTAAGCACAAACATCGACCGAAGTCGCGCATGTCAATGCGTGTAAACGCCATACAGAATACGATCAAATCCAGCCACAGTGAAATGTACGTCACACGGGTTAGGCAACAATCGGCACACTGACCATAAAAAGCCCTCCGTGAGCGCCACCACCTGCCAGACCGCCATTTCTGCAGACGTGATGTAAGTGTAAGGCATCACCACCAATTGCATGGTCAGCACGGCCAATTGGCCGCAGAGCGTGTCATGAGTCTACCGCTCACCTCAAGGGAATGGGGTCCCACGTTGCGCGGCTTTCGGCCGCAGCCTTGAGAGCCTCCTCAGATTCTCCCTCCAGCTACCACCCGCATGAGGTCAACACATATGCTCCACCAACCAATACAATGGCAGATATAGCCAATAGGCAGTTATAAGATAATATTAATAATTCGCCATCAGAAAGGGTTTGTGTCACTGACGTTGAGTATATGCATTTTTCGATCATGTTTGTCTCACCCACCAACAAGTTGCCTTCAATCTCTCAAAGGTGGGAACTTTATAGAGATATATTATTAAGTTGTTATATAAAACATCATGGAGGGCAGACAGTCTGCAGCCCCGCAATGAAGGGACCCGACTTGGGCAAAGCTACTTAGGTTGTGAGTCAAACCAAGACGCAGAGAGCGCCATTGAGAATAGCGACCCGCCAAACAACCATCGTAGAGACGCAATGCTACAGAATGCAACAAGCATCAATACGACTATCGTCGGGCTTACACCATCCCAAGGTCCCCCATACAGTCCCAGCAGACATCACCACCCGCATACCTCCATCGACCAGAACCACAAGATGCATCGAATCAGGTGCAGCACACCCGCAGATCCATCACAAGACACAATACTGCAAGTAGCAGTAAGCATCAATGCAACTATCATACGGATGGCGCCCCCTCACAACACACCCACATGATCCCTATCGACTTTGGTAACAAAATTTGATAATGTTGTTAACTAAAAATACCACTAACGTATCATAGTAGTACGGTACTAAGACGTCAGTAGCCAAAACTCCACGTATCATAGCGCTATTGCACTAAGACATGAAGTTGAGTATGCTTGCTGCACTTAAAAGTACTACCAAACACACTCACCCTAATCCGAAAGATAGCCGACGTATCATAACGCTATGCGCTAAGACGCCGCCCACAACCGGTAGGGGTGTGCGATGTCCACGGGCAAGTCGTATTGCTACAACAAACCCGCTTACCACCGGCACTAAGATGATATGTCTAGGACACATCGGTTAGTGAGTCCAAGTTTACCTCGGTCTCAGAGGCTGCGAAGCAACCTACACGCCACTATAATAATCCTTTTCAAGTCCCATTTCTTTCAATATCATGCTTTTACATATTTGAGACCTTCCACATATTTGCTTTATTTCATAGACCATACTACTGTATGTCTTATTCATATGGGACTTCAAGTCATAACTCTGCTATCATAATGCTTATGCATCATAGAGACCTTCTATATTAATGCTTTGGTTCGTCAGACCTTACTATGTTAAGTCCCTAATATAGGACTAGTCATTGTGCAACCTTAGTACTAGCAGTCGGTCAGCCGACCACCCCATATATATGTACAACCTTGGGTATGTGTCTCCGACAACGCCCCAATATAAGGGAACATTACAAGAACACGTTCATTAACTTAGAAAATTTTAATCCATTTTTTCTATTATATTACAAATGTTATTTATCTTTGTTATTGCAATATAATCGCCTTGTATTTATATGATTTGATATATTTTGAACATTTTAAGCAGGTTTTTAATAAATTTAGAGATTTTTTGAGACATTTTATGCGTTTACTAATATATATAATATTCAATATTCCAAATGGATATTTTTGAACTCTATGCTTATTATTTGCATTTTATTGTTTAAATTATAATTTCTATGACATTTTTAAATGTCTGTATAATGAATTTAATTATAATTTATTAATAATTATTATGAGGCGTCACAATCCACCCCCAAATTTTATGTTAATGATCCACATAGTGGAGTCGTTAATATAAAATTTTAGTATTTTGAGAGCATATACACTACACTCAAATAATTGTTTATATATCTGTTCTTTCCTCTTTTAATCTGTTACAATACGGCATATGTTATCAAATCCCCCTGCCCCAGAGAATGGCCGCCACCAACACCCCTTCAACCACAATTATCACAATGTGATAACACCATAATTCAAGTTATTGTATATCGTGTTGTTAATAAAGTTTGCAGTCAATTGTCGATTTCTTATTTTATTAATTTATCTTTAAATCTTTGAAACATTATTTCGATAGTGTCACACTTTATGTGCATACAATCCAGTTTGATATTTGTTGAGGTCAGTTCGATACCACATAGGATAAATGTGTTTGAGCCATTCGCCCTGACCCAACTCCCATATTTATTTAATAAAAATGATTACAAAATTATCTTGCGATCTATATTTACAACTCTTCATTATATATTAATAACGTTCTACTATCATATAACAAATCTCTTGCTCATAACTTTAATAATTTTAGACCTTTAACTTAAACAATTATTTCCATGGGCCACCCACTTTTATGTTACAATATTTATTTAATTACTCTAATTTATACAAAAAGAAATTATTATTTAAAATATTTTAATAAGTGAATAGCACTGAAAATTCCTCTAATTTCGTTTGTCTCTGGATTTGCTAAGGTATATACATTGTCAAATGGTACGGCTGCTATTACATAAGGTCCTTCATATGCCAAATTGAACTTACTCATAACTTTATTATCAGCGTCTGATCTACTAGATCTTGAAATTTTTACTAAGTCACCAATATTATATTTTATTAATCTATTTCGCTTATCAAATTTTGTGTTTCTTATTCGACTTGCCTCTTTTAAATTTTTACGCACTTGTTGTCTAATTTGTTCTACATTATGTTTGTCTTTACTTTTGGAAATTACTTTGTCAAAAGACATCTCATTAGACTCACCATAAAGAATCTCACAAGGCGTGAAGCCTGTACTATTGTGATAAGAATTATTATACAATTCTTCTAATTTCGGCAATATTAACGCCCAATCTTTGTGGTTAGTATGACAAAGCGTCCTAAATAATCTGCTCAACTCTTTATTTACTCGCTCTGTTGTATTTGGTCTAGGATTTCTAACTGTGGTATATATTGGCTTTATATTTAATTCACTCATTGATTGTTTCCAGTGATTACTTACGAACTGTTTTCCATTATCTGTCATTATTGCCTTGGGCTTTATAATCTCAACAAAATGCTTTACTTTTGTTACAACAGACTTTGCTGTTGACTGTTTTAAAGGATATAATTTGATAAAGGTACCTGATACAAGTGGTCCATATAAGTCTGCCATGACTATATCGCCAATGTTTTCTGTTATTATAGATTTGCAGGGACCCACATATGTTATATTGCTTTTCTTAGATAACTGACATAAATGACAAGCCCTTAATTGGTTTTTAATATCTTTTGTTAAGCCTTTCCAAAAGAATCTGTCTCTCACATATTTAATTACCTTATAGGGTCCTTGATGACCCATTTCGACATGCACTTGATTTATAATATCTTGTCTCAATGCTTTAGGTAAATATATTACTTCTTGTAAATTCGTTTTGTAATATAATACATCATTTTTCAAACTATATCTTTTAAATTTATTGTTTTGTTTTATTATGGAAGTATTTAATGTCTTTAACTTTTCAATAATAGCCAACGACTCTGAATCTTGTAATTGATATACTGTTAAGGATTTTAATTTTTCTATCAACTCAATATTCGGTTCGCTCTCTGTGTAAGCAATTTCTAAACTATTATTTTTATCCTCTTGTATTAAATCGCCATCAGGAGGATAACGTGATAGCACATCTGCAACAATATTACGTCTACCTGATATATGCTGTACTTCATAATTAAATTGTTCTATATACAAAATCCATCGGGTTACTCTACCATTGAATAAGTTAGCAGTTAGTATTATTACTTTACTGCCCCGCAAATATGTTTCAAATTTCTTTAGGCAGCTTATTACAGCATAAAACTCTTGTTCAGTAACAGACCAATTTAATTCGGGGCCTTTTAAGGCTTTACTATGATAGCCTAAAATTCTCATTTCATTATTATCATCTATCTGATATAGTACTCCGGCCATACCCACACCGGAACAATCTGTTTGTAAATAATACGGCTTATTAAAGTCTGGATGATGCAATTGTATTGTATTAATAAATTGTTGTTTTATAAAATCAAATGCCTTCTGTTCTTTACCGCTCCATTGGAACTTTCGTCCCTTTTTAAGTAATTCACAGAGCGGTATTATGCTCTCGCTGTAATTTGGTATAAACCTTCTATAAAAATTGCATAGACCTAAAAAGGCCCTTAATTGTTTAATCTTTTTAGGTGCTGGAAACTCTTGGATCGCTCGAATCTTATCGGGATCTGTCTTTATGCCTTCTGTTGAAATTATAAAACCCAGCATTTTAATTTCTTTACAAATAAATTCACATTTCTGCAAGTTACACGTTAAGCCAGCTTTGTTCAATTTACTTAAAACAATACCAATGTGCTCCAAATGTTTATCTAACGTTCCTGTTGTAATAATGGCTAGATCATTTAAATAGTTCACACAAAATTCTTGGACTTCTGGTCCTAATATTAAATTCATGGCTCTGCTAAAGCTTCCTACTGATGTTTTTAATCCTTGCGGCAAAACATTATATACATATGACTTTCCATTGAATGTGAATCCAGTATATTTTCTACCATCTTTATTTATCGGAATTTGAAAATATGCATTATTTAAGTCAATGGTAGTGATATAATTCGCTCCGTGAAATGAATTCAATACATCTAATTGTATAGGTGGTTTCTCTGTTTCTGCAACCATTTTCTTATTTATGCTTCTGGCATCAAGCAGAACTCTAATTGAGCCGTCTTTTTTAAGAGTGAATGTCAATGGACTACTGTAAGGTGTTGATGTCCTTGTGATGATACCAGCTTGTTCCATTTCATTTAACTTTTCTTCCATTTTCGCTCTATATGCATATGGAATGGGATAGGACCTAGTAACTATAGGTTCATCATCGATCATTTCAATTTTATGCTCATAGCAATTGGCTCTTCCCAATTTGCTCGAAAACATATTCTTATGCTTTTCCAAAACCTTACTAAGTTTTGCCCTTTCAGAGACCTTCAATGTAGATCCTATTTTTATATTTATTAAGGGATCATCGGTACATTGTTTAATGCAGTTATTATGTAATACAGATTTATTATTATATTTGAAAGGTATAAAGTAGTCTTTGTTTTTCACTTTAAATTCTATTCCAACAGTAGTATTTCTCAAATCAATCAATATTTTATTTCTCTTGAGCCAGTCAAAGCCTAATATTAAAGGTCTTATTAAATTACCTACAATTAAAGTTTGTGTTTCAAAGACTACTTCATCTATCTTTATAGGCAATATGATTATCTGTTGTATTTTTGTGCTGCGCTGCCCAACAGCACCTTTTATTTGCATTGCTTTAACTGGCATTATTGATATTTTACGATTATTATCTTTAATTTGTAAATATAAACTTTCTGAAATGCATGTAACATCGCTCCCAGTGTCGAGGAGCGCGTCTATTTCTTTGTCAAATATTGAAACTTTAATTTCAGATCTCATATTCCCTATAAATTCCCTTTGATATTTATCTTCGTCTTCCTCGAAGACGGTTTGCACGAATAACTCCGTTATGGGCAAGTCCGACCTGGCTTTTAAGGTATTTAATATTCTATTTACATTGTCGTTATAACCAAGGCCTTCTCTGTTAAAATTTGCTTTTAAAGTAATAGGTTTTCGCAACCCTCTATTGTTTTTACCCAATGTTTGACCAGGTCGCCAACCCAGTTTTAATAACATATTTAAAGCTTTGTTCCCTTTTACATTGTAAGGGGTCGAATCGGGAACTAGTTCGACCTCTACAGCTCTAAATTTGGCTCAGGAGCCGTAACATCAGGTTGGTCATTAGTGAAATGTATTTCATGTACTTCATTAACCTTCTTTTTTTCCTCTTCGGGTTTACGCCATGTTTTGTATGATTGTTGTATTTCTTTATGTTTTTGCTCCGTATTATTATTAAACTTCCTCCTTTTCTCATTATAGTAAGGTTCACGACCTTCATCTTGTTTGTCGATGTCATCTAAGTTTCTTAAGAAATCTGTCGTGTCTATTATTGTCTCAATTTTAGCTATTCTCCATAATTGCTGCACAGTTTTAGGATAATGTCTGATGACATCAGTTACTAATTGTTCTTCAGGTATCGGATATGATAATGTTTGTGCCTTCTCAACAACATAAAGAAAATAACTAACCATGGTGGGGTGTGTACTTCTATTCCATTTATTTTGCACAAGGAATCTCTTTACTTTATTTTGTTCTTCTTCACCCCAAAACACTCTTAGGAAGTCAGCTTTAAAATCATCAAAAGTTGTCCAACGCACATTATTAATGCGAGCCCAATACTTGGCTTCACCTACTAAGCACTCTTGTGCAATCGAAATTTCGAGACCATTAGATGGAACTTTCTTTAAATAATTGGTGAGATCTTCCAAAAATGATACTGGATGAGTATTTCCATTTCCAAATTTCGGCTTTTCTATTGTTACATTATGTACATTATATACAATATTTTGTCTAGGATCATTTACATGAGAGGTGCTCGCTCCGGACACCTCTCCTTGATTTATTTTAATTTGGTAATCTTTCGTTTGGTTAATAAATTTTTCCTCAAGATCCTTCATTTTAACCTCAAAGGTTTTCACTGCATTCTTAATTAATTTCTGAAGCATTTTCATCTCATCTTTAGGCTTAGCCTTAATTGAGGTTGATTTTTTCTTATTTTTAGCCATTTTTTAATTTTTATTACCACTTGTTTTTTTTTTTTGCACTTTTTGTGTCCTTCACTTACTTTAATTGAGTTTTTCCACTTATTTCACTTTATAATAATATATAGTATTGCAGTTTTTTTTTTTAACACTTGTTGTGTCTTTCACTTAGTTTAATTGAGTCTTTCCACTTATTTCACTTTATAATATATAGTATTGCAGTTTTTTTTTTTTTACACCTGTTGTGTCCTTCACTTAGTTTAATTGAGTCTTTCCACTTATTTCACTTTTTATTATTTCGTTCCGTTATGCACACACCTCCTATATTATTACTCCATTTTAATATTTAAGCCCCACCCCCAGACTCTCAACCACCCCCAGCAAACACCACTCTCCAAGACACCTCTCCATTTCACGGACAACAAATTGTAGGCATATAGCCTACCTCATAATTTTATATTACCGGCCTCCTATTTAAAATTTAACCTCTATCCTGGTCACGGCACCAAATTGTAACGAACCCCCCCCCCCCCATCTTTTTTCTTTTCTACTATATATCCACTTATACTTGTATTTCTTTAGAATCTATATCTGTAAGATATATAAATATATCTAATTTACGTGACCAGTATAACTTGATCTTTCTAAAGGTTTAAATATAGGCCGTTTAATAAATTTATGGCGTGATCGTCTTAGTTAGGACCCTTCTTTACGTTGTGTTTGTATAGTAACTTAGTTCTTTTAGGTGTATCTTGGAAGAATGAATATTCACGAGAGCAATCGAAAGCTGTTGGTAGAGTCTTATAAGCTAAAGAACTCCGTTCACGAAGACAGAGCTCAAAAAGGTTAAGAACAATAAATTGTCCCTATTCCACTTGTATCTGGTTCACAACAGTCAATTCCTTATTAATTAGTCCCTTCCCGCTTGGAAAAGGCTCACAATATTTATATCAAATACCAGTTACAAGGGCTTCGCTCTCCCACATTTTAAAAAAAATGTGGAGGAGGTACACGGCCCCACACACGCCGCGCACGGTGAGCACCAACCATTTTAACGCGCTCCCCCCGAAGGGTACGCAAAGTTGGGAACTGGACCGTAGTCCACAGCAAAATAACTGGCGAACCAGTAAAAGAGGACTTGGCCCCTTGATAGTGCGTAAGCACAAACATCGACCGAAGTCGCGCATGTCAATGCGTGTAAACGCCATACAGAATACGATCAAATCCAGCCACAGTGAAATGTACGTCACACGGGTTAGGCAACAATCGGCACACTGACCATAAAAAGCCCTCCGTGAGCGCCACCACCTGCCAGACCGCCATTTCTGCAGACGTGATGTAAGTGTAAGGCATCACCACCAATTGCATGGTCAGCACGGCCAATTGGCCGCAGAGCGTGTCATGAGTCTACCGCTCACCTCAAGGGAATGGGGTCCCACGTTGCGCGGCTTTCGGCCGCAGCCTTGAGAGCCTCCTCAGATTCTCCCTCCAGCTACCACCCGCATGAGGTCAACACATATGCTCCACCAACCAATACAATGGCAGATATAGCCAATAGGCAGTTATAAGATAATATTAATAATTCGCCATCAGAAAGGGTTTGTGTCACTGACGTTGAGTATATGCATTTTTCGATCATGTTTGTCTCACCCACCAACAAGTTGCCTTCAATCTCTCAAAGGTGGGAACTTTATAGAGATATATTATTAAGTTGTTATATAAAACATCATGGAGGGCAGACAGTCTGCAGCCCCGCAATGAAGGGACCCGACTTGGGCAAAGCTACTTAGGTTGTGAGTCAAACCAAGACGCAGAGAGCGCCATTGAGAATAGCGACCCGCCAAACAACCATCGTAGAGACGCAATGCTACAGAATGCAACAAGCATCAATACGACTATCGTCGGGCTTACACCATCCCAAGGTCCCCCATACAGTCCCAGCAGACATCACCACCCGCATACCTCCATCGACCAGAACCACAAGATGCATCGAATCAGGTGCAGCACACCCGCAGATCCATCACAAGACACAATACTGCAAGTAGCAGTAAGCATCAATGCAACTATCATACGGATGGCGCCCCCTCACAACACACCCACATGATCCCTATCGACTTTGGTAACAAAATTTGATAATGTTGTTAACTAAAAATACCACTAACGTATCATAGTAGTACGGTACTAAGACGTCAGTAGCCAAAACTCCACGTATCATAGCGCTATTGCACTAAGACATGAAGTTGAGTATGCTTGCTGCACTTAAAAGTACTACCAAACACACTCACCCTAATCCGAAAGATAGCCGACGTATCATAACGCTATGCGCTAAGACGCCGCCCACAACCGGTAGGGGTGTGCGATGTCCACGGGCAAGTCGTATTGCTACAACAAACCCGCTTACCACCGGCACTAAGATGATATGTCTAGGACACATCGGTTAGTGAGTCCAAGTTTACCTCGGTCTCAGAGGCTGCGAAGCAACCTACACGCCACTATAATAATCCTTTTCAAGTCCCATTTCTTTCAATATCATGCTTTTACATATTTGAGACCTTCCACATATTTGCTTTATTTCATAGACCATACTACTGTATGTCTTATTCATATGGGACTTCAAGTCATAACTCTGCTATCATAATGCTTATGCATCATAGAGACCTTCTATATTAATGCTTTGGTTCGTCAGACCTTACTATGTTAAGTCCCTAATATAGGACTAGTCATTGTGCAACCTTAGTACTAGCAGTCGGTCAGCCGACCACCCCATATATATGTACAACCTTGGGTATGTGTCTCCGACAACGCCCCAATATAAGGGAACATTACAAGAACACGTTCATTAACTTAGAAAATTTTAATCCATTTTTTCTATTATATTACAAATGTTATTTATCTTTGTTATTGCAATATAATCGCCTTGTATTTATATGATTTGATATATTTTGAACATTTTAAGCAGGTTTTTAATAAATTTAGAGATTTTTTGAGACATTTTATGCGTTTACTAATATATATAATATTCAATATTCCAAATGGATATTTTTGAACTCTATGCTTATTATTTGCATTTTATTGTTTAAATTATAATTTCTATGACATTTTTAAATGTCTGTATAATGAATTTAATTATAATTTATTAATAATTATTATGAGGCGTCA